TGATTTATATAAGTTTAAATAACCTGTTTCATAATTGTTGTAAAAATAAATAAAGTTTGAAATATAATGGATGAAACTCATGCCATATACCAACATGCAATATTGAAAGGTGACCAATAAAGAGAGAAATAATTTGTTCAGCAGTGTAAGTGTGTAAACAGGGATGTTCATGTACCAAACATTTTGTTATCGGAAGATGCATTAATCAAAGTCTTCCATTACTTACTTCACAGGCAACTGTACACACATTGCCAACAAGCCAGCCGAGATCTTTAGCTACAACTTGGAATGTCAACGGTTTGATGTTTGAGGATTCATCTTCATTCGTCTATGGTACGTTCCTACAGTAGATTATATACTTCCCATTGCCTGGTTAAATAAGGGACAGCTACTAGCCTTATAATTGACATTAATACACAGCCTAATAACAGACATTACTGGTCAAAATTAATATGAAAGCACCAGCCAATTTTAAAAGAAAAGTTAGCTTGCCCTTTCACTCCTACCTTTGGAGAAACACAGCTAAATCAAACCCGATATCATTTAGGGAGTTGTTGTTTGCGGAGAGAGATACTTTTACCATTATATAACACCAATTGTTCCATTTTTAATGACGGTTCACTTATTTTTCTAATGACTACAAATATTTTAAACATCAAATTGAATTTAACTTTTAATTTGTTAATTGTGTGTATCTCATATTGCGAATTCAAATGATAAAAGTATGGAAGTGTTAAATCGAATCGTGTTTCAAATTTAGATATAATAGATATTTTTAAGTCATAACCGACACCTGAAGCTTGTATTTAGATGCACTAGCTACGACGCATCTATAATCTTAATGTACATGTAGTTTTTATAACACTTGTACTTTCAGAATGTTACACGAGAATGTACGTTAAATGTACATAGAGCATGAGATGAAGTTTATACTTAGCATTCTAAGCATAGATTCAGACGGAATGCCAATAATAAATAATATTCAATGTTTAGTTTGCCCTAACACTCGATCCTCACTTTGGAGAAACACAGCTAAATCAAACTAATTCAAACATTACCCATTGTTTGGTATCCAGTTCATGTAGCACAACTAGTAAAAGGTATGTGTATCGAAGGTATGTGTATAAAAGGTATGTGTATCAAAGGTATGTGTGTCAAAGGTATGTATATAAAAGGTATGTGTATCAAAGGTATGTGTATAAAAGGTATATGTATAAAAGGTATGTGTATCGAAGGTATGTGTATCAAAGGTATGTGTATAAAAGGTATGTGTATCAAAGGTATTTGTATCAAAGGTATGTGTATAAAAGGTATGTGTATCAAAGGTATGTGTATAAAAGGTATGTGTATCAAAGGTATGTGTATCAAAGGTATGTGTATAAAAGGTATGTGTATCAAAGGTATGTGTATAAAAGGTATTGTATCAAAGTTATGTGTATAAAAGGTATGTGTATCAAAGGTATGTGTATAAAATGTATGTGTATCAAAGGTATGTGTATCAAAGGTATGTATATAAAAGGTATGTGTATCAAAGGTATGTGTATAAAAGGTATGTGTTTAAAAGGTATGTATATAAAAGGTATGTGTATCAAAGGTATATGAGATGACAATGAAATTGATTACTCAACCCATTAAATACCCATTCATTTTGTGAAAAACAACCCAATCAACACTAGTACAATGTATAATATGTTCCAATTTATTTCATATTCAATACACTGACGACAACATACAATGTTGTTAATTATACATTAGGATACATGTAATATAATGGTAAAAATAAAATGGTAAAAATAAAATTAAAATCTCTTTTGAACTACACATACAATATACATCCAAACCTACAAGTAACAAATAAAAATATTTTCAAAGAGAAACAAAATTCTTACATTCCTTAAAATGACGCTTTTCATCTGAAATCCAATTTCCATCCACAGCTCACCTTGGTAACTCTCTCACAGAAACTTGTTGTAATTGTTACACAGATATGGTAATGACGTTTTCAGTACATTCACTTCAATCATCAGTAATTCCTATTGTACATGAGATACGCTCTATAACACGACGTACAAGATATATTTCAAACATCTATTTTATAAGCTTTCAATTTTACCATTAGTGATAACTCACCCTAATTATAATACAACACTTTCATCTATATCATTAGTAATGACTTAACTTATATCAACATGTCTTTCTGGGTAAGACAAGAAAGGCTTGTGGGTGTTCTGTTTCTACACATGAGGTGAGTGAAGGTTTCAGTGACAGTGCCCATACTGTTAACACTTAAATCTCTATAGCATACCCTACATACACTCCATAACATATAGCAACTTAAATCTCTATAGCAACTTAAATCTCTATAGCATATCCTACATACACTCGACAACATATGGCAACTTAAATCTCTATAGCATACCCTGCATACACTCCACAACATATAGCAACTTAAATCTCAATAGCATACTCTACATACACTCCACATCATATAGCAACTTAAATCTCTATAGCATATCCTACATACACTCGACAACATATGGCAACTTAAATCTCTATAGCATACCCTGCATACACTCCACAACATATAGCAACTTAAATCTCTACAGCAACTTAAATCTCTATAGCATATCCTACATACACTCCACAACATATAGCAACTTAGATCTCTATAGCATACCCTACATACACTCCACATCATATATCAACTTAAATCTTTATAGCATACCCTACATACACTCTACAACATATAGCAACTTAAATCTCAATAGCCTACATACACTCCACAACATATAGCAACTTAAATCACTATAGCATCCCCTACATACTCTCCACAACATATAGCAACTTAAATCTCTACAGCAACTTAAATCTCTATAGCATATCCTACATACACTCCACAACATATAGCAACTTAGATCTCTATAGCATACCCTACATACACTCCACAACATATAGCAACTTAAATCTCAATAGCATACTCTACATACACTCCACATCATATAGCAACTTAAATCTCTATAGCATACCCTACAGACACTCCACAACATATGGCAACTTAAATCTCAATAGCATACCCTACATACACTCCACAACATATAGAAACTTAAATCTCTATAGCATACCCTACATACACACCACAACATATAGCAACTTAAATCTCTATATCATACCCTACATACACTCCACAACATATGGCATCTTAAATCTCTATAGCATACCCTACATACACGCCACAACATATAGCAACTTAAATCTCTATAGCATATCCTACATACACTCCACAACATATAGCAACTTAAATCTCTACAGCAACTTAAATCTCTATAGCATATCCTACATACACTCCACAACATATAGCAACTTAGATCTCTATAGCATACCCTACATACACTCCACATCATATAGCAGGTGTTCTGTTTCTACACATGAGGTGAGTGAAGGTTTCAGTGACAGTGCCCATACTGTTAACACTTAAATCTCTATAGCATACCCTACATACACGCCACAACATATAGCAACTTAAATCTCTATATCATACCCTACATACACTCCACAACATATGGCATCTTAAATCTCTATAGCATACCCTACATACACTACATAACATATAGCAACTTAAATCTCTATAGCATATCCTACATACACTCGACAACATATGGCAACTTAAATCTCTATAGCATACCCTGCATACACTCCACAACATATAGCAACTTAAATCTCAATAGCCTACATACACTCCACAACATATAGCAACTTAAATCTCTACAGCAACTTAAATCTCTATAGCATATCCTACATACACTCCACAACATATGGCAACTTAAATCTCAATAGCATACCCTACATACACTCCACAACATATGGCAACTTAAATCTCAATAGCATACCCTACATACACTCTACAACATATAGCAACTTAAATCTCAATAGCATACCCTACATACACTCCACAACATATAGGTTTTCATTCCTTACAGTTATTTAATTGCCCCCCTCCCCCTATTATCCTGGTTTATTAAAGAACACTGAAAACATTCATTTGGGTACAACTCAATATCCCTCAGTAACATATTGTATTCATAGTTATCACAAAAACTATACCGGATTTGAACACAGTACAATAGAGCAAATTTCTTTTTGTTAAACACATTTTTTAGTTACTTCAGGAAAAATGTTTGTGATTGTGAATTTTTGGTATACCCGTATAGTATAGTATTTATACAGCAACTGATAATGAAATAACATCCCCTCCATCACATATTCAAGTATTCACAATAAACCTTAGGCATTATTCATGACAGTACACATGATTATTAAGCCATTCACAGTAATACGGTCCATATGAACTTAACCCCAGCTATAATAAACTTAACTAGTAGCTGGACAAAAATATTCAAAGAGTCAGATTCAATGCTGTTTCAGAAGACCCCGAAATTATCACATATGACTCTTAAAACAATATTATAATTTTATTTTGACAATAAAAGTGATTTATTAATAAATGTAAAATGCATTTTCTTTACATTTACATTTAAAACATGAGTTGCCCGAGTAAATGTCAGTAGTATGTATTACATTTAACAAACTGTTGATCTGCAGTGTTTGACATATATCCTATCTGAAGCCTTGTTGTTTATGGTTCTGCCATTTTATTCGGTAGTCTAGCAGATGTTCAAATGACAATGCAGCAACCAAAAAACACCATCAGATCAGACCATTTGGTCTGTCCCTTTTTCATAAACAAAGAATCTGATTCAACTTTATGGACTATTTCAATTGAAATGAATGAATTTGTTCAAGGTGTACATAATGATTACCTCCCCTTGGTACAGTATTGTATATTGATTACCTCCCCTTGGTACAGTATTGTATATTGATTACCTCCCCTTGGTACAGTATTGTATATTGATTACCTCCCCTTGGTACAGTATTGTATATTGATTACCTCCCCTTGGTACAGTATTGTATATTGATTACCTCCCCTTGGTACAGTATTGTATATTGATTACCTCCCCTTGGTACAGTATTGTATATTGATTACCTCCCCTTGGTACAGTATTGTATATTGATTACCTTTTAATATGAACCAACCTGACAAATCCAGAACTTTATAAATCTTATGCATTTTTAAAATATGTTAGATGCTAGATATTGTACTAACAAAAGTGTGTAAAATGTGTCTATACTGATAATAGCTTTAAATCTGAAGTGTTTTTAATCTCATATAATATTTATATCACCTAAATGTCAATATGTCTAACTTGTCCAAGTGTGAACGTCTTTGTAGGTAACATGTATGTCGGTCAAAAGCTCTATAGAGCTGATGTTATTTGTTTACATTTGTTACACAAACAATATACTGGGTACGTATTAAACGAGCTATGCCAGAGTGAGTGATTTGTATTGCTTACCTGTACAACTAGGTGACGAAATTATAAATTTCATATGTTACTTGACACAGGACATTGATTAGAGAGTGTATTCACACTGTATCGAATAGGTTACCAGTATTTTGTCACATCGTAGGTAAACAATACAGATGGCTCATTCGGTCATAAGTTGACAAAGGGACCATTCAGTCTGGAAATATTATAACACATTCAATACAAACACTATCTGTGTATAAAATAATACTTAACATTACAAATTTCCAAACTGATGAATCTTACTTAAGATATGATGTGATCAGTACATTTAGTTTGCATGCTAACTGTATAAATCAGCAAAATATTGGTCAGTGAAGTAGATCTAAAACCGATATACTGGTCAGTGAAGTAGATCTAAAACCGATATATTGGTCAGTGAAGTAGATCTAAAACCGATATAATGGTCAGTGAAGTAGATCTAACACCGATATATTGGTCAGTGAAGTAGATCTAAAACCGATATATTGGTCAGTGAAGTAGATCTAAAACCGATATATTGGCAAAAAAAGTCATTCTCTACTCTTAATTAATGGGATGCTTGGCTGTCTTCTTCAAATAACTTGGGAAATACATTTGAGCATATATTGCTCAAGTGCCTATGATTGTAAACGTGCTGTTGGGTTATACACACAACACATTGATTATCAACTATTATTTAATAGCAGATTAATATAGAATACTGGATGGACTCCTGTTCATTATTATATGTACAATGTATTTAATAAGTATGACAGATTTCTCCGATTCTTTCATGAATGCAAAGGAAAATATTTTGTACTTTTGAGACACATAAGTTATTCAATTGGAAACCAATACGTTTTTCTGTTGGTCCATATACTGGAAACAGCAGGAGGAGATTGTCAGGGACCTGTCTCTAAGTTAACACTGTGTTAGGTTGTCAGGGACCTGTCTCTAAGTTAACACTGTGTTAGATTGTCAGGGACCTGGCTCTCAGTTAACACTGTGTTAGGTTTTCAGGGACCTGTCTCTAAGTTAAAACTGGGTTAGGTTGTCAGGGAACTGTCTCTAAGTTAAAACTGGGTTAGGTTGTCAGGGAACTGTCTCTAAGTTAACGCTGTGTTAGATTGTCAGGGACCTGTCTCTAAGTTAACACTGTGTTAGGTTGTCAGGGACCTGTCTCTAAGTTAACACTGTGTTAGCAGCCTTCATTGGATGTTCAAATGTCATCATAAGTATAATTATGTCCCAACCAGTTTCAGGTTATCACAATACAATTATTTTTATCATACTGTAATTTCTTTCCATATCATTGGAAATTTTACGTAACTCTACATCAGACGATGTATTACTTATTTTCCAATGTGCTTTTTCATTGTTCTCTGGATACAGAAACAGAATTATACAATAGACACATAGTTTGTAGTGTATCAACTGGATAATGCATTAGAAAATGTTTATCATTAATTCACTTGCAACAATTTTTTCTCATAAATAATTTATGTCAATTATGAAAAATTCTGCCAACATAAGTAACTACTAATGTTTGTGTGACCGTTATACAGATCTACAACAGGTACTGGCCTCGTCTTTCAGTACACCTATTATATTATGGGCGTATTTTTAAATATTTTCAAATGATTTTTCAAATTGCAAATAGCAATTAACCTTGTCATTCAATCTTAATTACAACATCTAAATTTACTACGACCTTCATCTTTCCTCCTGTGTGATTGTGATTACTACTACCTTCACCTTTCCTCCTGTGTGATTGCGATTACTATGACCTTCACCTTTCCTCCTGTGTGATTGCTATTACGATGACCTTCGCCTTTCCTCCTGTGTGATTGCGATTACGATGACCTTCACCTTTCCTCCTGTGTGATTGCGATTACTATGACCTTCACCTTTCCTCCTGTGTAATTGCGATTACTACAACCTTTACCTTTCCTCCTGTGTGATTGCGATTACTATGACCTTCACCTTTCCTCCTGTGTGATTGCGATTACTATGACCTTCACCTTTCCTCCTGTGTGATTGCGATTACTATGACCTTCACCTTTCCTCCTGTGTGATTGCGATTTCTATGACCTTCACCTTTCCTCCTGTGTGATTGCGATTACTACGCCCTTCACCTTTCCTCCTGTGTGATTGCGATTCCTATGATCTTCACCTTTCCTCCTGTGTGATTGCGATTTCTATGACCTTCACCTTTCCTCCTGTGTGATTGCGATTACTACGACCTTCACCTTTCCTCCTGTGTGATTGCGATTACTATGACCTTCCTCTTTCTGTAGTAGAAACATCCATAAACGTTTCTTTTATTTGAGATTTTAGTCCTTTAGATGAATGTCTGTAGAATTCGGTGTTAGGCCCCATACAGAAGTCACATGTGCACATTTAAGATTCAGAAGCACCCAGCCTATGTTGAATCCTGGTGACTACTGAATACAGGTATACAGGTGTATAGGAGACCAATACATACTGGAGGGCTTAAAAAAAATAATAAGTTACAAAATTATATCATCCTTGTAAACACAGCATGTTATACCATAATGGACTTTTTCGCTTGAGAAAAATATCTTTTTCAGCTAAAGTTAGACACCTATCCTTAAACTAAATGAAATGTGTATATCTATATCTATCAATAAACAAAAGTTTTACTTAATCCAAAATATTACGTTTGACATTAGTCAGGATAGTGCTTGTTTAGTTCCTCAGCACAGCTACATTGTGAACAACATCTAACATAGAACTGAAAGTCAATACTTTACTGGTAGTCTCTGTATGTCAACAGTGACATGTACATTTCACTACTTACATGTCGGGTAAGTATGAACGTATCATATAAGGAAGAATTCAGAGTCGTCTGTATCGTCCGAGTCCTCTATATGTCCAGCGTCCACCATACACACATTAGACGCTGCTTCCCTGTACAAATACACAAACAAAATGTTCATATAACAATATCCTGTTACTACCGAAACTTTTTGTTTCAAGACGGGTTTTCCACAAAAGTTAAATTTGGTTGTTATGATGAAACATACAATTTGTACAAGTTATTTCATTGTGAGGATGTATATAAAGAAATGATATTATGCAAATGTTATCAAGGTAGACGCGAGGACTGCTGTAATAATGCTTTTAATGACCAAGGTCTATTCTGTAGTCATACAATTTTCTGAGTACTTTAATAGTTGCATGACTGTTCTTTCAGTAATATATTGACATTTTGAATTCTCGAAAGGTAAAATGACAGCTATATATTAGTTTCTGGATTTTTTTCAAATACATTTCTGCAAGTTAGTTGAGTTCTTCATTTGTTTTATTGCAAATTAATATGAAATTATGAAGTTTAAAGACCAGAATCAACAAAATATTTGTTTGCCTTAACCCGACTAAGGATTTTTAGTTGAAGATAAGGAAAATAGTGTATTTTCATAATGTCACTTTTTATACTGGTTTCATACAAATTGTTTATAACCATGTTATAAGTTGCATACTTTGATATTGATATGGAAACTGAGATATATAAAGAGTTTTGTTTTTGTTTTAATACTATGCCTAAAAATCTAAATATTCCCAGTGTTTAATACACTACTTGACAATCAATGTAGGAAGGGGAAAATATCCTACACTTCAGTAGGAATCAATGGTGAACCACCTGTCCCTTTCAATTCTCTCCCCCTTTTCCTGTCCTTCTCCAAAAGTAAAACCTATGACACCCTGTGTATTATCAGTTGGTCTCTGCTGACTTACGTCTCGGTGAAGGCCTTCACATAGTCATCACCTGGTCCCTTCTTGGCAAACTTGACTGTCACAGCACAAAGACCTAGACCTGATAAAATCATAAACAATCAACCTATTTACAAATGAATATGATGAGTTTGCTCTTGTGTTTGAGTTCCCCAACCCCTTTATTTTTAGCCAATCCTATGCTATATGGAATAATACTTCCATCCTACTAACAAACGTTCTGTACAGGAAAATATAACTATAAACAGTTAACTGCTTACAGTAAGTATTCAAAGAGTTCACAAATAACAGTTACTCTGCACAACCACCTTTGAAACGAGACATCATCAGTGAAAAAGAGTAATAACCATAAAATTTACAAGTATTAAATGAAATATTCATTATTAGAAGGGACATTTTCTCACAAAAACATGTGTAGGTACAAAACAAAGAACTATCAAATTTTAATATCTATTGCAACCTGGAAACCTGATTGTGACGAGATTTTATAGGTTTTATCAGTACTTCAGTAAGGAATCTGATAAAGATTTATTAGTTAACTGTCGTTCAGTACACATTCTAGTACTCGTCTGGTTTGGCGTAATGAAGTGCCTCTAGCGGAGTAATACTGTGACAGTTACCCTTCAGTTGCCTCTCCAGTCTTCCATACTGGGTCCAGCGGTTCTGCTGGGGGTCGTACTGCTGGATGTTAGGTATCAGTTCTCCTCCTTCCGTCTCGCCTCCCGCGACCAAGATCTTCTCATTTAACACTACCAACAATCAATGTTAGATCAGTATAGAAGCTTGCAATATACAAGAAGTTGACAAAGTATACTTGTAAACAACATACAAAGCATATAAAATATAAAATATACGGCATAAAAATGTGGAAGAGAAATTGTACAATTGAAAAACAAATCAATCTACAATTTGCAATTATATGGCAAAGTATTTGAGCACTCAATATTTCACCAACTTTCGACAAACTATGATATCAAAATGGACAAAGGACCATAACTCTGTAAAGAATGGGATACAAGAGTGAAGACCCTATTTCAACATGTGCTATTCTGCTGTTCAAAGAGGTACTCACATACACAAGTGTGCAATGGCAGGCAACAGAATGTAAGAGATCTGCCCTGGACAAAGTAACGTACTGCGGACAACAAGCCCTACTCTCTAGGTAGTGGGACATAAAACTCCATTTCAGTATGGAACACTATGTCATCCTATGAGGTACTTTCATACACAATTTGGCAGTTGAAAGTAAAAGAGCATATGAGCTATGCCCCAGACAAAGTGACACACTGACTTACAAACTAACTGATCAATGATTACTTATTCCCGAGAAATAAGAATGCATGAAATATACAAGCAATGCAATCTGTTGTTCAAATATATAGGAATAATTTGAGTCAACAATCAATTTGAGATATAACCTTCCTGTGAAATAACACAAAAATATGTATCACCAAAAAACAAGACGATTGGATGTTGCAAAACTATGTATGTTTGAACAGTTAATTGGTGGGTTGAGTTTGGTGGGAGCCATAAGGTTTGAGAAAGACAAAACTACCAATTTACAGTAAACAAGAGGGTCAGGTATGGCAAGACAACCTCTTTACAATACAAAGAGGGTGGATTTGGTGAGACTACCTATTCAAAATACAAAGTGGGTGGGCTTTGGTGAGACTACCTTATCACAATACAAAGAGAGTGGGCTTTGGTGAGCTTCATTTTTACTTTACACAAGACTTATAGCATGGAAATTACACAAGAAGTTAGACACACATACCAACTATGCCCACATGGAATGCACTAATTGGCATTGGAGCGAGACTGGTCCACTGTCTTGTCTGAAGGCTGTAGGACTCCACCGAGTCCAGACTGGAGTCAGTGTTAGGGCTGTCGAATCCCACCTCCTTGTACCCTCCACACACATACAGTACCCCATTTAGGCTTACCATTCCATGTCCGGCACGGGCTGTAAGGTATAAACGTAACACTACATATAAAACTGATAAACTATTATTATAATTTAATTTCAGTGTTTTTTTTCTAAATTTTACAACAGCATGCTCCTACATGAATTGGGAAAATATTGAAATTGAGAAGACATTCATAATTTATTTTAATTTGGGAAAATAAAGCACTTTATTGATAGGGGAAGCTGCCTGTATTTGGCTTTAAAACTAGGCCAAAAAAATGACTGAATTTGACTTTGTTTTTTATGTCAATATTCATTATTGTTACCAAAATAAGCAGATATGAGCATCTAATAATTTACAGAGTTTTTCACTATAACAAGAGGTCCCTGAATGTTACACTGATGTTGTTAGCCACCTGTTATACAGTTGTTACAATCACAGGTCGGTTGATGATGGAGTAAATACTACCTTGCAGCAGTGAAGCCTTTTTGTGCCACTTGTTGAGTGAAGGATCAAAACACCACATCTTGTTGGTGGGTGTCACCTCTACACCTCCAGTTACATAGATCTGTGGGGAAAAATCCAGCCAAGGCATAAATAGTTGGTGGGTGTCACCTCTACACCTCCAGTTACATAGATCTGCGGGGGGAAATACAGCCAAGGCATAAATAGTTGGTGGGTGTCACCTCTACACCTCCAGTTACATAGATCTGTGGGGGAAAATACAGCCAAGGCATAAATAGTTGTAACTGAATAAATTGTGTGTCAATATAAAACACTCATATCTTGTAAGGAAATTAGAGGCTGGATATTTTTACTGTTGTAGCAGGACTTATTTATCTGTTATTGGATCTGTATCTGTATAAATACGTGGACTCCTTCTTATAGAAGATAGCTGTCCACTGTAATACAAGAGATCCCAGAGGGATCTTGGCGCCCACCTTTGTACCATCTTCATTAGTTCTTTGTCAGTTCGATCTTTTCTCTTCTTTCCTCTAATCTGTTTGATCAAGTCATGTTAACAGTAAATGCACCTTGAGGTAACTTTTGATCTAAACTTAATACTGATGTGTATGAAAGCCAACCTTCAAAGTGAGTTTGTCATTTCACATATTTACTAGTACAGTACTTAATGTGAAAGAAATAGAATCGATCATTGCAATATGAGAAAGATCTGTTTAGTTCTTCTTTTAATCCATTTTGTTTTTATGATCAGTCTCAAAATATAACATACACAACCAGGGATCAAGGGGAACCTACATTTAAAATTTGAGAAAGATCCCTCACTATCAAAATCAAAGATGGCAAGATAGTAAAAGTTTTTAAAACATTTCACTTCTGTGACCTTGAAAGCGATTCAGTCATTCATTTAAACCATCTCATAGGAAATATCAATCATCCTTCGAGACATTGTGGTTCTTCAGAAGATGTCATTTGAACTTTCTAATACATCTGACACAGGTGACATTGAAACTGGGTTAACTTCATTAGTTAGAGAACGAGAGGTCTATGATTATTTTTTTGAAATCTGAACAACAGCTGTCAGGATAGTTCGAATTATTCTGACGTTTTATTGACTTTTCTTTTATGACGACAGACCGATATAAGAAAAGTCGATAAAACATCAGAATAATTCGGACTATCCTGACAGCTGTTGTTCAGATTTCAAAAAAAAAAGGAGAGCTACACACTACCTTTATAATAAACATTTAACAATTGATTCCCAGGCTCAAAGGTACATAATTTTTCTATATTGTCTCTTTCCATGTTTTAACCCTAACACTAAGTCCACATGGGCAGATAGGACCCTGGAAGCAGTCATGACAGAATAAGTGCATTCATTTCTGCATACCCATGGTAGTTTTTTATGCTTTTTAGATGAGTTTGTTTGAAGTTTTATGCCATTTATCTCTTGTGAAATTGGGTAAATGTCATTCATTTTAATTTGTGGCATTTCAAACCATGAAATTATATGCCAAATATGATGGCTCTTGGCCTTATTTTTCTCAAAGAGAAGTTGAAAAAAATGCTCTCAAAATGCTGGTCATGCATATCAAAACAATGAAGTCTAATTAACATATGGGCTGCTTTATTCCCTGTACTTCATAGAGATATCAAGAACCAGGAAGGAGTCGCATTGCGTAGAGTATATAAGGACATTCATGTACAGGGCGGACATTGGTAACAAGATAAGATAAGGGAGAAATAATTTAACACAAGATGAAGGCACGGATGACACTGCTCTCTCCCTTGCTTGTACCTTTCCTTCAGCTACAGCTGCTGCATGGTCGTAGAGTGGTTTGGGGAGAGGCTTCACGTAATACCACACGCCTTCATCACACTCATGTTTCTCCACAGAGGCCAGTGGCTGCTTGTTGTCTTTGCCTCCTATCACATAGATGTTCCCTGGAGTAAACATAAATGGTTCAAAACTTTAAGATCTACATAATACACAAAAGTTACTACATTTATAATGATGTACTTGTTACTATGTATACAGTGTGATTAAGTGATGATCATGACCTGGTATACATTATTAAGACTTAGATCTTATATATTATATGTAGTTAAAGATCTTGATGGGGACATTTGAAGTGTTCATGTATATATGATACCATTAGCAATGAACAAGTACATGTAATATAGCACAAAGAAAAACATAAGACATATATGTAGCAACAAAATAAAGAGAGGAAATACACAGAGACATAACAACAAAGAGAGAGATAAACAGAGACAAAGTAACAAACCAGAGAGATAAACAGAGACAAAGCAACAAACCACAGATAAACAGAGACAAAGCAACAAACCAGAGATAAACAGAGACATAGCAACAAAACAGAAATAAACAGAGACATAGCAACAAACCAGAGATAAACAGAGACAAAGCAACAAACTAGAGATAAACAAAGACATAGCAACAAAACAGAAATAAACAGGGACATAGCAACAAACAAGAGATAAACAGGGACATAGCAACAAGGGAGAGTGAACAACAGAGACATAGCAACAAACCAGAGAGATAAACAGAGACAAAGCAACAAACCTGAGAGATAAACGGGGACATAGCAACAAGGGAGAGTGATCAACATAGACATAGCAACAAACCAGAGAGATAAACAGAGACATAGCAACAAACAAGAGATAAACAGGGACATAGCAACAAGGGAGAATGATTAACAGAGACAAAGCAACAAACCAGAGAGATAAACATAGACATAGCAACAAACAAAAGATAAACAGGAACATAGAAACAAGGGAGAGTGATCAACAGAGACAAAGCAACAAACCAGAGAGATAACCAGAGACATAGCAACAAACAAAAGATAAACAGGAACATAGCAACAAGGGAGAGTGATCAACAGAGACATATCAACAAACCAGAGAGATAAACAGAGACATAGCAACAAGGGAGAGTGATCAACAGAGACATAGCAACAAACCAAAGAGATAAACAGAGACATAGCAACAAACAAGAGATAAACAGGAACATAGCAACAAGGGAGAGTGATCAACAGAGAGAAGGCAACAAACCAGAGAGATAAACGGGGACATAGCAACAAGGGAGAGTTATCAACACAGACATAGCAACAAGGGAGAGTGATCAACATAGATAAGGCAACAAAGGAGAGAGATAAACAGAGACATAGCAACAAACAAGAGATAAACAGGGACATAGCAACAAGGGAGAGTTATCAACACAGACATAGCAACAAGGGAGAGTGATCAACAGAGATAAGGCAACAAACCAGAGAGATAAACGGGGACATAGCAACAAGGGAGAGTGATCAACAGAGATAAGGCAACAAAGGAGAGAGATAAACAGAGACATAGTAACAAAGGAGAGAGATAAACAGAGACATAGCAACAAAGGAGAGGGATAAACAGAGACATAACAACAAAGGAGAGAGATAAACAGAGACATAGCAACAAAGGAGGGAGATAAAGACAGACATAGCAACAAGGGAGAGTGATTAAGACAGACATAGCAACAAAGGAGAGATAAACAAGAGACATAGCAACAAGGGAGAGTGATAAACAGAGACATAGCAACAATGGAGAGTGATAAAGACAGACATAGCAACAAAGGAGATAGATAAACACTAAACAGAGATATAGTAACAGACAAAGAGAGAGATAAAGACAGACATAGCAACAAAGGAGGGAGATAAAGACAGATGTAGCAACAAGAGAGAGTGATAAAGACAGACATAGCAACAAAGGAGAGAGATAAACAGAGACATGGCAACAAGTAAGAGAGATAAACAGAGACATAGCAACAAGTGAGAGAGATAAACAGAGAAATAGCAACAGACAAAGGAGGGCAATAAACAGACAGAGATAAAACCTATATCTAGCATCAGACATAGCCAGGAATTAGCTGGGAGATAAACATATAACTGGGAGATAAATAAAAATACCAAGGGGAAATAGAAAATACACAGCTGAGTAATAAATATATCATAGAAGATAAATGGAAACATACCTTGGAGACAGACTGCAGCATGCTGTGCACGTTCATGCTTCATACTTTCCAGGTCCCAGATACTGAGATGGCTAGGGGTAAACATACGTACTTGTCGCGTGGCACTGCGGGACGCCAAGTCCTCATCCATATCATACACATACCCCCCACATAATATACTGCAGTCATTCACTTCTGTGACAGTCAAATGCGACATGGCTTCCATGACACGTACACATCCCAGTGGGAACCAGTGTTTTAGGTCAGTGTGGTAGAAGTGGTTTCTTTCCCAGCCACAATGATCACCAAAATCATCTGGTGGCATTTCACTATCCTCATACATATCAAACCTAGTCACACCTCCAAACTGTACCAACGTTTTGCTTTCAAACCTCACACGTGTCCTGTGGTCGTAGTATGTATACCTTTTGGTAGCGTTCACCATATATTCAGTACAGAATTTTAGAATTTCTCTACATTTGCGATTTGATCTGAAGGGCTCGTTCTTCATGGCATACTCTATTGCCGGCCAACCGTCCACTACATATCGAATTTTGTCTAAAACATCAAAGGCTTTACTTTCCCGAGCTTTAGGGTCATGTTCGTACCACCTCAGAGCAGCCTTCAGCAGCTGTAGCTCTGTGGTGGTCCGCAGATGGTCGTCCAGCAAATAGTCTATCAGTGTATCAGGGTCCAAATTCAAAAACGAATCAGTTTCTGAAAACTGAATGAAATTCTCTAAGATATATTCCCTATAGTGAACTTTCAAGGTAGGTATAGACAGTATTTCACCTATACCCAGTAGTTCTTCTGCATTGTCAAATGTCATCTTCTTTTTGAGGTATTCTATACAGAGGTCAATGGCAGTAGTCATCTGTAGAAATGTGGCTGCACATATGACCTCCTGGATATTGTCTAGGGTGAGTACTACAGAGCCGGTGTAGGCGTATTTAATAAGTGGATGGACTCCTTTCTCTGTCAGTCCCTTCAGCTCTACATATTCCTGGCGACTCTCAAGCATGTCGTGGGAAAACACAGCTTTGAAATAGTCACTGCAACTGGCCAGAACTATCTTATGTATCTGGGAAAAGATATATAAATTCATTTTTTTTCAGATTTTGCCACAGAAAACACATAATCAAACTTCTTTTCTGCATCATATAATTTGTTGTATCTGTAACATGTTATATCACCTATTATATCATGTGATAATGCACAATTTTATACTAGCTATACATGTAGCTATGATGGCATAAACTCAAGGCAAAGTCTTTTTCCTTTGATTTCTGATTTTCTCTATTCTAAAATACAGTATTCCAAAACTGTAATTATACAAGTGTTCATTGAATTTGAGCACATGATAAAATAAACTTAACACATACAGTCATTTTCTTTGTAGAAAAAAATAATAAAATAATGTTTGCGATTTTCATAGAAACAATTTTTCTGCAGAAGTATTATCCATGAAATTGATAGCAAATACATTATCCTTCCTTAACATAAACAATTGTGCCACGGCTGCATGACCAGAAATTCACAAAAAAAGATGTTTTCAAATGACTTTTTTTGCAAATTCATGAAAGTTAGGGACAGCTTAACAATGTTCTCCATCCTATCCCATTCTTACGAAAAGCTTTGAGGTTTTGTATAAATCTTATGTATTAAAATAGTAAATAAAACTTGTTTGAGGTCCTCTAATTTATCTGTAGCTATCAAATAAAACACACGGATTCATTATACTTACTCTGTATGTCTTGCCTTCGACTTTGACTGAGAAGTCACAAAGATGGCCAGTCATGTAGGATTCGTACATGTCCTTCAACATAAGCGGGCCAAAATCAGGTGTGGAGCATTCCTCCATGGCCAGGTGGGAGTTGTCACCTATAGTGAACAACAAAACAACCATTTAAATCCTAACTCAACAATTGGTCAAAGATATATGACATGACAGTGTTGAAAGTATAGGCCTATATGCATACCTTTTAGGTTTTTGAACTACATGAATTGGTGTTACTAAATCAAATTCTTCAACTTGATTGTACATTACTTTGTACCTTTATATATTGTGAATTATCTACAACATCACCTGATCATGTTTTCTTACATTTTACCAAATGCTATAAAAATTATCATTACCATAAGTAAAGCTCTATTGACCGATTTCAATTAATTACTCTATGATATATTTCATTAGTTTCCTTTCTTAAAGAAGTGGATTGACAAAAAGACACATCTAAAGGGAACCTAATGCAATAGAAGACATTAAATAGGATTCAGATTTAAAAGTTGTTGGTGCAGAAATGTTATCATAAAACTCATAATTATTTTTAAAAATATATACAATGTATATAAACAAATATGACTAATGTTTTATCTGACTTTGCTTTATTTAAACTGAAAATTTAGAACAGAACTTAATACAGCTATAAATGATGTGTGGGTATAGGTTATTTCAGCTTAGTCGGCAGATTGTACTGAATCTGTTTTGCACGTGATAGACTGTAACAGCACAGCTGCCTGAAGTTATGTGGGTTTCATAAATTCATAAGGAAATGAATACAAACAATACAAAACTCCAAGGTCCATAACTGATATGTATTCTCGACTTTCTGGTATTTTTGTATAACCGGGTAATATTGATTTAAACCTACTAATTGTTCCAAATTTTAATTGAGCTAAAAGGAAATTCCCTAGAATAAAACTAGACCAGATGAAGTCATATATAATATATATTTAAAACAAATTTCTATGTGTTTTGGAACACAAAGAGTAAGGGTGTTTTGATACTGTTTTTAAGCAGGAAAATTGCTGCAAACTTTGAAAACATAAAGTCAGCATTTCACAGGACACAAAAAGCAAACAAAGTACAAAAGGAAGTTAAGCGATGAACATCTTATAAAATATCAAAACAACTTTTGGGAAGTAGGCCTAAAGAAACATCCTTATCAGGTACCAAATCAGTGTGGTACCGAAATGTCTGTACCCCGCTAAAACCTGCTACACAACTCCCCTCTGTTTGCCATCCAAAAACCACAAGTTCTAACTGTCACCACAAACCACAATAACCCAAGTTCTAACTGTCACCACAAACCACAATAACCCAAGTTCTAACTGTCACCACAAACCACAATAACCCAAGTTCTAACTGTCACCACAAACCACAATAACCCAAGTTTTAACTGTCACCACAAACCACAATAAACCAGGTCCTAACTGTCACCACAAACCACAATAACCCAAGTTTTAACTGTCACCACAAACCACAATAACCCAAGTTCTAACTGTCACCACAAACCAAAATAACCCAAGTTCTAACTGTCACCACAAACCAAAATAACCCAAGTTTTAACTGTCACCACAAACCACAATACCCCAAGTACTAACTGTCACCACAAACCACAATAACCCAAGTTATACCTGTCACCACAACCCCCAATAACCCAAGTTCTAACTGTCACCACAAACCAAAATAACCCAAGTTTTAACTGTCACCACAAACCACAATAACCCAAGTTCTAACTGTCACCACAAACCATAATAACCCAGGTTCTAGGCCTAACTGTCAACACCAGCCACATCTATGACCTTGGAGGATAAAGGACACAATTTGTAACAGAAAAGAGAATAGTCACTAGCTGTATATATAGTGTTTCCACAATGAATCAAAGCCTATGTACAATTAAAATCAGCCTCACCTCTAATACAATGGGTATTGATATATATTTTATATACGTATATGATTTTAATTATCAATACATGTTTTGCCAATAATGACAATTTTGTTGAAAATCTGCAATCTGATTAAAATCATCTGTTACATGGCTCCGCCTGAACATCTAAATGTGCCGCGGTCAGGGTCACGTTCAAGTGACCTTTAGATGAACCAATCAGAGGCGCGCTGGCAGCATATCGGAATATCATGGTTGATAGATAAATAACGAGGGGTATCGGACAGATTAGTCCAAAAATTAGTTCTAACTGTCACCACAAACCACAATAACCCAAGTTCTAACTGTCACCACAAACCACAATAACCCAAGTTTTAACTGTCACCACAAACCACAATAAACCAAGTTCTAACTGTCACCACAAACAACAATAACCCAGGTTCTAACTGTCACCACAAACCACAATAACCCAAGTCTTTCTTCTCTAATAAAGCTTCGAATATCTTTTCCTGTTCGGGTTTCAGACGATCAATCAGACATCATTCTAAACAATGTCCGCCATATTTGTTGCAACTCTGAGCGCCCTTTTTAAAGAGGGTCTCTGATTGGTCAAAATTTAATGAGTATTTATAAATATAAAGGTCACCTGAACGTGACCCTGACAGCGGCACACTCAGATGATCAGGCGTAGTACGAAGTTAACGAAGCCATTTAACACATGATTTTAATCAGATTGCAAAATCTGTTGCTGGATTTATTTCCCTATGAAACCCAGCTGGCAACTGTACACATGCAGATCACGAGTCAGTCATAATACAGAGAGGTTCATACTGTATGATCTACAGCAATTTGATCTTGTATTGTACAGGTCCAGTTAGTCCGAATTATTCTGACGTTTTATCGACTTTTTTCATATCGGTCTGTCGTCGATTAACGTCAGAACTCCGGCCCTCTATAATATGCGGGAAATATGCGACCCGCGCCCGGAGCGCACTTCAAACTGATATTTTAGAAACAAATCGTCACTTTCACACACATGTCGCACATGGATCGAAAGATCTATTCTTTATGCACAAGATTAATATACATAACATGCCTCAAACAACTAATACAATCACTAAAAACATATTTTTTCAAACTTACTCTGTTTTACTCTAGTTTTTTGATAGCCCCGCCTTCCAATGCCACGTGACTACAATCTCGCCGGCTTACGTCATAACGTTTGGAAATACCTTCGGTAACGCGAGATCTCGTCAAGTCATGTGACATTTCTCATGGCCTTATTTCCATAAAAAACATGGGTTGGTATAGAAAACGTTGAAAAATGCTTTTCGTAATGATTTTTGAAACATGTTATTGATACCACCTAGTGCATAAAGAATAGATCTTTCGATACATGTGCGACATGTTTGTGAAAGTGACGATTTGTTTCTAAAATATCAGTTTGAAGTGCGCTCTGGGTGCGGGTCGCATATTTCCCGCATATTATAGAGGGCCGGAGTTCTGACGTTAATCGACGACAGACCGAGTCGATAAAACGTCAGAATAATTCGGACTAAGGTCCAGTACACTCTGCCGATTGAGCTATATAGCTATAAAGACCTATATAGCTATATACACCTATACATTATAGCTGTATTGAGCTATATTTTCTCAGATTTCAATTTTCATTAATTTAAAGCAAAGTCGCATAAAACAATAAGGTTTACGTTAATGTTGACTACAAAAAGCATAGTTATTTTTTTTTAAAAGAATCCTTATATTTAATGTCTTTTGTTATCAACCTAATGATACAATCTTCTTTTAAAAGCGACTTTGTTTCGTTTTCCTTAAAACAGAAAATCACTTCAAAATAGCTCAAAAGACCTATTTCAGATAGGTCAATATAGAGCTATTATAGGTCTTTACAGCTATATATAGCTCAATCGGCAGAGTGTTCCGAACCTATGTTGATTCATATGCGGCAATATGCCAGAGGGGTTTATGCAGATTATATTGGAATAAAACTGCACAGTGGATACTATCAGCAGTGCAGATGTGCATTATGATGCCATACGCACAGAACAGTGGAAAAGTTGTGTCTCTCAATGGCAAATGTGATAATCGTTTGGTACAGTTCTAGCTATGTTTTCTCGATGTTGAAACAATAAATGTATTACTAGCAAACACTTAATATATACTAACCTGTCGCCATGGTGCTATAAATGACAAAATAGCAGCATAGCAAATTATATATACTAACCTGTCGCCATAGTGCTATAAATTACAAAATAGCAGCATAGCAAATTATTGTTGATTCTATGTTTTCATGGTCCTGCGTTCACCGGAAGTGCCTGCAAACCATAATTATCTCCCCTGTGATCGCTCTCAATCTCGCGGGAACGTCTGTCGGAGTTTTTCCTGAACAGACGATCCATATGAAACAATACAATATTGAAGTCTTTTTATAAATCTGTAATGTGAGAAGGTTTAATATGTTAAATTAGTATGCTGTTTTGAATATTTTTACCTACGGATATGTTATGACAATGTCAAAAAACATATCACAGGCAAACAGCCAATGCACATCTCTTTGGCTGAAGCAGGGCACACCCCTGGCTGAAGGATAACACGATGAAGACTAATGAATACCGTAGGCGGCAATAACAGTTTCTGTAACCCGAGTAGAATGGTTAAAACATAGCAAAACCAACGACTTCAAGGTCATCAAATACGTATCTAAAATTCAATTGGGAAAAAAGTGGTCACACAAAGCATCTTCAAGTGTCAAAATAATTTTGAAAATACCACAGATGGGACTAATAATTTTATCCATGTTTATAACATAGCAGTGCGCTCTGGCCCCACACCATGCAGACATCTATATGTCAAAATGTCTAAGTCTGGTGTTAGGGCCAGAGGAAACTCGGGCTAGTAGTGATTAATAGAATGAGAGTATGTTAGCAATGTAGGCAAAATTTGGTTGAAATTCTTTATCAACATTTTTTCTTAAATAGTTGCCCTGCTGAATAGTTTAACAGCTAGCATTATGTATGAAGCAATTAAGGATGTGGTCATCATTTGTTATGACTTTGTAGATAGCACACATGTTCACAAAGCAAACGTTACGACTCGGTTATTTTTGACAGTTTCTATTCTTTTGTAGTTGATGTCAGCCTGGCCTTGATTTTGTTTTGTTTTTAGGACCACAGACTACATGTTTCTTCCAAATCTGACGCATATGTTAATTGTACATTATTTTTGGGGATGGGGCGAAACAACACTAGATAAACCAACTCAGATAGGTGTCAATTTCTGCGATGTAAAATGAGCTGTGGGCAAAACATCCAACATCCCCCAGCTGGACAACTGATGACCGATAATCGACAATTATTTGACTTATGGGAGATAGCAATGACCTAGAGTCACTGTAAATTGTGTTCAATAGCAATAGAAGTTAAGTAGGGTATTCATTTCTTCAGAATGTTCTACACATGCGTTATCTCCCTTATACAGTTGTAAGTACTGTTTTCCATTGCAGATGTAGCTGTTCCATACCAATATACATTGTAAGGTGTACAAAGAACTGCAAACAACCCTAGCATACTTTAGGATAGCACTGTAACTGAAACATCCTCAGAATGGATCCCACAATTACCTTAATGTTGCATGGAGCTGCAGAGAAAACAAATGCCAAAGATGAAGTAACGATCATGGTTTTAGCAAAGGAGATTCAGGTCTTAATTCTCAGCAAACTTGATGGCTTGTCTTTAGCAAGGGTACAGAAAGTGTGCAGACTTTGGTATGATATTGTGGATGATTTTGAAAAGTACTTTCATGTCTGGCTTAGGTGTTGCTTGACAGAAATTTCTATCTGTGATCTCGTAGAAATAACAGGACTTCTGGAAATAGATGAGAGTGACGATTTGTTAGTTACAGCTGATAATTTGAAAAAATTGCCTACAATATTTTGGCGGGAGGTGTATGCTGAATATCATAGAAATGACTTTATTAAGAACAAAGCAAGAAAGATGAATAAGATTGAATACCCAAACTGTTATGGAATGGTCACCGCTTTGAAGTTAAAAGGTTAGTATTTATGTTGTTGTTTTTTTTTGTTTTTTTTATTGTGTAATATTTCAAATTCTTCTGATTATATAGTGGCATGTGTAAACCTTCACAGAGGGAAAACAACACTACCAATAAAAAAATTCTAAAATAAATTATCTGACTGATTTGCCGAAAGGTTTGTTTCCAAACAACATACTGTACAGAAGATGTATGATTGATGTGGAAATGAGTTTGAGAGTGAAAGCCTAATATTGTTACTTGTGTGATTATACATTAATGTGTACCATGTATAATATAATTTATAAATTGTTCTCTGTTGAAGACAATGTCTTGTTTAGTGGACATGAAGATGGCAGAGTAATATCATGGGAAAACATTGATGGGTGTGTCCGGAATACAACCTGTCACCAGCATCAGAGAATGGTTACAGACCTCGCCGTCACTCGTGCTGGTTAGTTTTTATATCATTGTACTGTAAACCCTGTTAGGGACATCAGAAACCCACTAAAGATCCAGATAGTAACTATAAGGTAGAGTAAGCAGAAATAGTTAAATCTGACAGCACAAGTTTAAAAGTTCAAAAATGATTCACATATAATAAAATAAACTCTAAAAAATTGACAATTAATTAAGTCCAGATTGAAATATATATATATCCATTTTATGAAGGTTTGTAAATAATTAATTGCGAGATATTTTCCCCACAATCAACTCTTAAAAGTTAATTCCAAAAATATATTTGATGATGTGAAATTGAGGTATGGTGTTGTTTTGTTGCAGATCTGACCGTGAACCACCTTCTCCTAGGAATTAATAACACCTTTGTTATCTCAAGTTCTAAGGATTCTTCTCTCATCCTTAACGACATCACGGGGGGTCAATCAACCAAGATCTCCTACTTCAGCAAACAGGTCAACTCTGTCAGGTACTTACTAACACTGACATGTATATTTGGGTCTATTGGCCCTGGTACCTACAAGACAACTTTACTAGGTAACTACATATACCCATGAAATCTGTTGACTAACTACTGGACAACTTTGTGAGGTAATTCCATATTAATTATTTTAGGTAGCGAAAGGTCAGCTCTCTCAGGTACCAACATTTCAAATCATCGTCAACTGTCGGATATATATACATTTTCTTTAATATAAAATCTTTCATGTTATTACAGTTAACTGATTTAGCTGGACGACTAACTGGATTAAACTTTGTAGTTGTAGTGGCCTAACATTTGTTGCGGCGGCCAACTGTAGCTTCCTTCAGGGCCACCCTGTGTGGGACATAGACTATCACAAAGAGTTGAACGCCAGACTCCGCTGTCGACAGGACCTGGCAGGCCAGGAGTCGACCAATATCCTTGCCGTGGCCTTACAAAGAAACAAGGTTTGATCTCTCTCATCAAACAATATGAGCGTGACTATGTTGTCGAATCTCTGTGAACCTTCAATTCTCAAATGCTTCAATTTACTAAAAGTAATTGAGAGGTAGTAAATGTGCTTGTTCAAGCGATGGTTTGACAGTGAAATTATTGGGTAAGATTCCAGTTTGTGTGTAACTGTGTCCGATTTTAATGTGTCATGATTTTATTGCGTACCTGATAGACATTGTTGATACAAGTATTATGTAGGTTTACAATTAGTAAAAACCATTACTATTATTTGATTGTATGTGAAACAGAAGAAATGTCGACAGAGACCTTGTAATAGCTGATATGGTAATTCTTCAATATTAGGGAAAGGAAATAAGGCCAAGATAGGACAATTTAATACACACGTATCAGTAAGGTATGGTAACGGTCATATGATCACCTCTTTATGTGTTTGTTGTAGGTGCTGGCTAGTGACGACATTGGTAATTTGTTATTGTACAAAGGGACAGGTCAAGATCAAAAAAGTAAACAGGACCAACCCATCATTCTGAGTGTGTTTGGAGCAGCAGTAAAATCTATCCTTTTCCGTGATGATAAAGTGGTATGCCTGACAGGTAAGACGAGACATACAGCTAAGGTACATACTGGTAATAAATAACAAGGAATACCACTGAACTACCTGCAGTTCATCATCATAATATAATGTTAGGCTGCTGGGGCTAAAGGTCAAGGTCCTAGCGTTTCTTGTTTAATTTTTTAAAACAAAAAGCAGCTCCTTACATAATTATACCCCAAAATAGATTTTCATACATTTGCAGCCTCAAAAACTGACAATATGTATCACACATATTTGTAACTTCAATACTAAAAATATTTCTTCTGTACTTGTACACACATATTCTTCCTACTTCACAAGCATTGTTTATTGAGTTGTTACTGTGATCACCAGTCACCTTTAGTCAATAGAATCCCTCATGTGACATACCACATCTTCAGTATCCTAAGTCTCATAATGAAAATGTTTGATTTACCTGTATTAGCTGGTACTGTTGTGTAATAATTACAGATGATGGCATGCTTTGTGTTTCCCTGGATCTGAAGGAATTTAAGCAACACAGTGTTTATGAAGCCATTAATGTTATTCCTGAATGTATTGCCTGGAGAGTCAACATCTTAGTAATCGGTGCCAAGACAGGTGTGTATGGAGAGATATTCTGGTGAATGTAGACTCAATCCATCTTTATCATACGATTGCTATTATAGATACATGGAAAACTATGGTAAACATCAGGTCAGTTTAAACAAAATTTTAAAAAATGTTAATGTCACTATTACAATCAACAGAAGTTTGGTTTCTAGACTTAACAGAGATCTTGTTCCTTTGGGCTGATCAAACTTAAAACACTGCTTTCATACCAACAAGTTTGTTAAAGATTTTTTTCAGGTTCAAAGTTCAAAGGCCAAGAGATTGCCATGATATTGTTGGATTTCATGCTATTTAACTTATATTATACGTTGCTCTTACTCTAATATCCTTAAGAGAGTTACTCCCCTTACTAGCCACTAGCCATTTATGTGTGTCTGGCAAAGGAAAACTAATAGAAGCCTAGTCTGCTGTCTCGATAAAATAAATCAGAATGAAATTCAGCCTCCACTAGTTCTATTGTCAGATGAACTTATTAAACAGCAGGTTGAGCATATACAGTTATACTGGTATATTGATGTAATATGTTCTCTCTACCTCGAGAAACATAAAAAGGCACAAGGCAGTTTAAATCATCATTATTAACTAAAAGATATGTTAAGATTAACTACATGTATAATGTTTTTGAGTTTGTGTAAATTTTTAAAATTCTATCTCTTTTGAGGTAACATGTCAACGAAAAAAATAAAACGCATGTTAAATTATATGGGAAAATAATTCAAAATTCCAGGTAAAGTGTTCCTGTACCTAGTGAAGGGAGATAGTGACCTGTTACACCTAGACCTCAGCATACCTGTAGCTATATATGATACAGATTCAGAACATGTGAACTCTGTCGCCATTGGAGATGATGGCAATGGACCAGTGTTAGCCATCGCTACAGAACATTCCTTCATTACACTGGTGAGGTGGACACGGTGAATTATTCTTCTGGTCATGTGGATATATATATATACACTGAACTTAACATTGTGGTCAGATGGACATGATAGACTAATCATTTAAGTTAGCTTTACATACAGAACCACTATTCTAGTCATATGGACAAGGTGAACTTACCATTCTCATTATATGGACAAGGTGAACCGACTATACTTATTACATGGACAAGGTGAACTGTCTATACTTGTTATATGGACAAGGTGAACCGTCTATACTTGTTATATAGACAAGGTGAACAGACTATACTTGTTATACGGACAAGGCTGACTATACTTGTTATATGGACAAGGTGAACCGACTGTACTTGTCATATGGACAAGGGGAACAGACTATACTTTTTATATGAACAAGGTGAACTGACTATCTTTGTCATATGGACAAGGTGAGCTGACTATACTTTTTATATGGCCAAGGTGAACTGACTATTCTTGTTATATGGACAAGGAGAACTGACTATACTTCTTTTATGGACAAGGTGAACCGCCTATACTTGTTATATAGACAAGGTGAACAGACTATACTTGTTATGCGGACAAGGCTGACTATACTTTTTATATGGACAAGGTGAACTGACTATACTTGTTATATAGACAAGGTGAACCTACTTTACTTGTTATATAGACAAGGTGAACTGACTATACTTCTAATATGGACAGGGTGAACTGACTATACTTGTTTTATGGACAAGGTGAACCGACTATACTTGTCATATGGACAAGGCTGACTATACTTGTTATATTGACAAGGTAAACTGACTATACTTGTTATATGGACAAGGTGAACTGACTATACTTGTTATATAGACAAGGTGAACAGACTATATACTTGTCATATGGACAAGGCTGACTATACTTGTTATATGGACAAGATGAACTGACTATACTTGTTATATGGACAAGGTGAACTAACTATACTTGTTTTAACGACAAAGTGAACAGACTATACTTGTTACATGGACAGGGTGAACTGACTATACTTGTTTTATGGACAAGGTGAACCGACTATACTTGTTATGTAGACAGGGTGAACTGACGATACTTGTTTTATGGACAAGGTGAATCACTTTTGGCCTGCTTGTGTAAAGCCTGGTTAGCTTAACAAGACTAATTCTTTTAAATGCTATTTTTGAGATATCTGAAAATTTACAAATTTTGTTGTTATTCACTTGATATGTTTTTAATTCCTTGACTTGTTTATTTGTTTTTGATAAATAAATATATGTTAAGTTCTCATAAAGCTGATCTGCCTTTGCACATGCAGACAAGGTGAACCTATCGTTCAAGTCTGATTGACATAAGGTCAGATGGTAAAAGTGAACCCTGATCAGGTTGACAGAACGTGATGGACTGTGACTTATCACCCTGTCCAGGCCAACAATATAGGTGATATAAGATGTGCCAAACTTTCATGTAGAGATTTGTGGGACCAGAGATTTTTTACATTTTGTTTTAGTCATATGATTGTCATAATTTCTCTTTTAAGAAAGTGAATAAGCATTTTTCCAGTATTGTACTAATCTTTACTTCTGTTTTTGTTATGTTGATTTCCTTTTGATAATAAGGATGTTAGATATACCGGTAGAAGTAAAAACTAATATGTTATAATTCTGTTCTACTTACCGAAGGAAATGTCATTGAAGGTCAGTGTTTTTAAAACAGAATATTTGTAATTTTTGTTTGTTTTTGTTTTCACATTTTACTGTTTTGTTTTGACATTTATTTCCAAATACCTTCAAAGTGTTTAACATAGGATTTCAGAAAGAAATCTCCGTACTGTAGAAACAAGTTAATGTTACTTAATACTTAATCTCCGTACTGTAGAAACAAGTTAATGTTACTTAATACTTAATCTCCATACTGTAGAAACAAGTTAATGTTACTTATTACTCAATCTCCGTACTGTAGAAACAGGTTAATGTTACTTAATACTTAATCTCCGTACTGTAGAAACAAGTTAATGTTACTTAATACTTAATCTCCGTACTGTAGAAACAAGTTAATGTTACTTAATACTTAATCTCCGATCTCGGTACTGTAAAAACAAGTTAATGTTACTTAATACTTAATCTCTGTACTGTAGAAATGAGTGATGTTACTTAATACTTAATCTCCGTACTGTAGAAATGAGTGATGTTACTTAATACTCAATCTCCGTTCCGTAGAAACAAGTTGATGTTACTTAATACTCAATCTCCGTTCCGTAGAAACAAGTTAATGTTACTTAATACTTAATCTCTGTACTGTAGAAACAAGTTAATGTTACTTAATACTCAATCTCCGTACTGTAGAAACAAGTTAATGTTACTTAATACTTAATCTCCGTACTGTAGAAACAAGTTAATGTTACTTAATACTTACTCTCTGTACTGTAGAAACAAGTTAATGTTACTTAATACTTACTCTCCGTACTGTAGAAACAAGTTAATGTTACTTAATACTTACTTTCCGTACTGTAGAAACAAGTTAATGTTACTTAATACTTATCTCCGTACTGTAGAAACAAGTTAATGTTACTTAATACTCAATCTCCGTACAGTAGTAACAAGTGAATGTTACTTAATACTTAATCTCCGTACTGTAGAAACAAGTTAATGTTACTTAATTTAGGCTTTCAATCAAAAAATAATAATATATCTTTTCACTTAAGCTGTGGGACTATAGGGTTTTTTTTGGAAAAAATCACACATGAACATGGAATCGGTGTCGGTGATATATTGTTTCTGGGACATTTACTGCATCATGATATCCTCGTGATATCCTCGTGACATTGTTGACATTATATAGATTAACCTATCAGTGCTGTAGTAAAAGGTCTGTATAAAAATTGTGTTTTTACTTTTGTACATTATTTTTTTACTTCATTATAGTTTGTCATTATGAGATCTGTTTTATCCTTTGTTTAAAACATGTAGCTTGTAATATAGATGACTAGCTGCCAGTTCTTGCCAGTTGAACTACATACAGGTTTTGTCAGTGATTTTAATACATTACAACTGAGGTATGTCATTTCTGTAGACATTATGATCATTTAGGGCAGAGTTACATGTCCAATATAGAGAATGTGCAAAAATGACAGGTTATCCCTAAATTAACCAATTCTTTATCATCAGTTGTAATAAAATTACTGAAGTGCTGCAAAAATAATTTCAGTTTTTGGATTATTCTACATTTACATATACACAGTTACCACCAAAACCAATTTATTAGCCCTTACTGTACTTTGTTATTTTTTCTCTCACTTTTTAGCTACACGTATGCAAAGCATCCTTTGTCAACTCTTCCTGTAGAGGAATAATAGTTATATGATAGTTCAGACACACTGAAGAGATTCTGACAAAATTTGATATGCAGGAGACGTGGGCCAAGTGATTCAAGGTTGTATGATGTAAAGGTTGATATTTATGGTGGGGATAAATTAAGTGATTTTAAACATCAAGAACAGAAGGGTAGAATTATCTCCACAGAGAGGAAATTTTAATTGACATCGTCTTTAACTTCCACAGGGAAAATGTTGTCTAAAGTTGTGTAAGAATAATACTGTTATGGTCATAAAAAGATGTTTAATTACAATATAATAAAAGGTTACTACAGTACCCTAATACTGCCATGGTCATAAAAAGTTGTGTAATACTTAATATGCAGTATTGTTGTTATAACAATAGGAATTTAGTTAGATTGCTTCCAAGTAAATGAGTATTTTTTAGATTGTTCTAAAATCTAAGATAGCCATCAGCTTTACCTTTCCACTGATAATATTGACAGTAAATAAATAAAGAATAACTTTTATTTTTAAATTGCTGGGTGGTAACAAGAAAAATGGATTTTTCTCCTCAGTTCTTTTCAGTTTATGCATGTACACAGGTATATACAGATCATGTTTTATTCTCCTTTAATGTTTTGCTGAGCAAAGTAACAATTACTATTACATTTTTCCAGTGATTGAATGTTGAAAACTAGTACTTGTACCTACAGTAAAACAGTAAACCCCACTTACGTAATAGCTGTTTTCTGCGTATTTGTGCTAAACAGGTTATGACATTATTGATGAAACATCATCATGCAATACAATGTCATGGTCTATATTGTAGTTTGAACCAAGGCTTATTGCTTTGGTTGCATATTTATGTACATTTTATACGGCGTTCAGTTTTCTATTAATTATTTTTATATTAAACATTTAAAAAGTGGTAGAATTATTTATAGGTGAACTAATTTTAACTTCTAAAGAATTTTAGCTTATAAAGAGAAATGAATGGGACCAAACTGTCTGTTAATCGTTATGAGGGATGTTCAACATATCAACCTGTCTGAAATAAACCCTCTTTCCCTCTGTAGAACAGTAGTAGATTAGATATATGTACATTCTGTATATAAAGGACAACAAGAAGCCTGTATTGGCAAAGTTTTAAATATCTTTAATGTCAATATTTGTAACTTATTTATTACATTTCTTTCTTGCTTTCGTGTACAATTAAAATGTGCAATTAAAAATAAAGACCTGGTGCTTACATACATCTTCACGATAAGAGTACGGCTATCATTTACATTATAATTAGTTATAGATCTAATCTAAGAGCTAAATGTTTGGATAATTTCACTCTTATGGCAGATAAACATGTTCTTTAGTTCATGCTTCCTGCCATACTCGCGTAATTTATGTTTAGTTGGAAACCATTAAATATCCTGTATCTATTGGTTTCTATTATTGGGTGAATATATCCTTAATATTAGTATGGGAAGACTTTTTTTCACAATATTGGCAAAAATTCTCCATTATGTTATAAAAATGATTTTAAAATTGCTTCTTTTTCATTTCAGATTATGAAACTTTTCACAATTTCATTTGAGAATACTCGTATTTCGTAATCCTTATGAAATGAGAGTGTGTGTAAGATCCATCATGGATCAGGTAACCATGATGATATATTATCATGCTCCGAATGAGAAGAGGAAGATTAAACAGATAGGTTTATGATCTTCCTGTAGTGAGCTCTGAGTACATTTGTATTTTCTGAAAATGCCAGTTATGTAATATGATAGAAAAGTAATTTATGTTGAAAAGCTTAATGATTTTACTGGTCAGGGTTATATTAAAAAAATGACAATGGAACCAATTTCTGTTGTAATTTAATTAACCTTATGACCTTGTTATACATCTCTACTGTCCATTCCTTTTATGTCAGGGATATTCCTATGTGCCATTGAGGCATCTGACAATTATAAAATGAAAAATTGCAGACAATGTGTGTAACACATCCTATTCAAAGTATTGTAACGTTTGGGATCTGTCTTTTCCTGTCTTGACTTTCCTTTCTTGATCTTAATACTTTGCAATGCCTCTCTTGTCAATGTGCAATGCCTCTCTTGTCAATGCACTTTCGGCTGCACGGCAGAACATTCGACCGTTGTGAACAGGCAATGAGTTCTGCTCCCATGTTAGGTCCTTTACAAAGGGTGGTGATTCACTGTTAAATGTTCAGCATCTAGTTAAGTGCAATAACTGGCTTAGCCATTGTCAACGTAATGTGACCAGGTGAAGTTCTCTGCTGGGTGCTCTTGGCATAGTGTATCGTTGAGGTAACACTTTAATATCAGCATCCGATTTGGGCTTTTACAAGGAGGCCGATACACAAATATACATACACAGGCACACTTTTAAATGGCATTGAAGCTGTTAATAGGAAACTACAGCAAACTAAACCAAACAATCAACAGTTGATTTCCATAGGATAAACGATATAACAATTGTCACTCTCAGCCCCATTATTTCGGTCTTTTGGCCTTCTTCAAGGGAGTAAGTCAACAATGGACACGGAAGTAAATGTTATCACCAAAGTTACTTTACAGTGCCATCTCACTGATATGTCAACCTTTGATCAAGGGCAGTAAGCGTCAATTTTCAAGACTTTGGTTTGCCTCGGGTCTTGGAACAGAATCCATAGCCTTTACACCAAAGTGAGATATTGTCAAGAAAGGCATAAGGAAATGGAAGCAGTCGAAAAAAGCAAAAACAAAAATATCCCGAATATTGCAAATGGTACATACAAAAAAGGTGTGTAGCTTTGATTAGACCACTCTAACAAGATAAGTAAAAAAGCTGTATAAAGTTCTACATACAAACTTAACGTGTCCAAATAATATGGTGTACCGTACATGCGAACTAACGTGTCTTAACTAAAAAGTTTTATTGTAGTAGACATGTAACAAATACAATGTACAAACCATGGTATATGGACTTACAAGATATTCTTAAAACAAACTAAGCTTGACTGTATATGGAAGCTGAAGTGTCTTGACTGACGAGGTAAACTGTACATACAAACCAACGTATCCAGACTAACAATGTTCCACTATACATACTAAAGTGTCAAGGTTGAAATGTTCCACTTTATATAAAAACTAAAATATCGTGACTAACAATGTTCCACAATACATGCAATATAAAGTGCCAATGCGAAAATGTTCCACTGAACATACAAACTAAATTATCGTGACTAACAATGTTCCACAATACATGCAATTTAAAGTGTCAATGAAAATGTTCCATTAAACATACAAACTAAATTATCGTGACTAACAATGTTCCACAATACATGCAATTTAAAGTGTAAATGGGAAAATGTTCCACTGAACATACAAACTAAATTATCGCGACTAACAATGTTCCACAATACATGCATTATAAAGTGTCAATGGGAAAATGTTCCACTGAACATACAAACTAAATTATCGTGACTATCAATGTTCCACAATACATGCAATTTAAAGTGTAAATGGGAAAATGTTCCACTAAACATACAAACTAAATTATCGTGACTATCAATGTTCCACAATACATGCAATATAAAGAGCCAATGCGAAAATGTTCCACTGAACATACAAACTAAATTATCGTGACTATCAATGTTCCACAATACATGCAATATAAAGAGCCAATGCGAAAATGTTCCACTGAACATACAAACTAAATTATCGTGACTATCAATGTTCCACAATACATGCAATTTAAAGTGTTAATGAAAATGTTCCATTAAACATACAAACGAAATTATCGTGACTAACAATGTTCCACAATACATGCAATATAAAGTGTCAATGGGAAAATGTTCCACTAAACATACAAACTAAATTATCGTGACTAACAATGTTCCACAATACATGCAATATAAAGTGCCAATGCGAAAATGTTCCACTGAACATACAAACTAAATTATCCAGACTAACAATGTTCCACAATACATGCAATTTAAAGTGTCAATGAAAATGTTCTACTAAACATACAAACTAAATTATCCAGACTAACAATGTTCCACAATACATGCAATTTAAAGTGTCAATGGGAAAATGTTCCACTGAACATACAAACTAAATTATCCAGACTAACAATGTTCCATTCTACATCAAGTTACCAGACAAGCAAGGTTCAAGTGTAAATAAAATGTAGTAACTAAAGTGATCTAACTAGTGTAAAACGAATCAAACTGTTCAGATTAGTACACGTCCATTACATAAAAGCCAAACCTATGCTAGTAGACCTCCCACTCCATGTTCTCCATGAAGGAGAGTATTTTTTGGTATGGTTTACTGTTCCAATTAACAATTCGGGGTCAAACAGTATAAAAAATACACGTTCACTAAAAGGAATACATCAAACGTATACTAAAACGGTTTGAAGATAAAAGACAACAGAAAGAAAACGCATAGGTTGTATAATATGTAAACAAATAAATATTAATCGTATAACACAATACACTTTATAAAACTTTTCATAACTGGTACATAATAAGGTTTGCGAGGGACAGGTCTGTTGTATCCAAAAGCATGTTATCGTGCGATGCAACAAATGAGGGCCCCTGCGAAATCGGGGGTTGTGTTCTGCACACAGGAACGGTCATTGGAGAGACCAAGATTAATCTTCCGATTCTATTGAAATACTTGCGATCTGAATATTTTCTTTCCTATTCCATTTACTCTTCCTTTTCGGTTGTGTAACAGGAGTCTGAAAGTCAAAACATAATCATAACTAATACAAAAACAATTCCTATAATATGCTTAAAAAGTAGTCTATTTTTTTTAGCATACTATAGGTATTTTTTGTATTACTGTTATTAGTATTTGAAAGAATTTCAGGCTCCGGTGGTAAAGGTAAATCTCACCTTTTAAAATGACTCTGCACACGCGCGTTACGAGGATATATGAAATAGAAAAGAAAACAAACTACAGTCGAATCACTAACAAAATTAGCAAATTGTTTTCACACACGGAATTCCATCGTAAAAGTCTAAAGTACACACGAAACGCAAGAAAACAATAGTGTGACTGGCCTAAAAGCAACAAGAAAACACGAAATTGGAACAAAGCAACAAACAAAGAAGATTAACAAGTTATAGAAGTTTAAAAAAAGATCAACTTACAAGGTTCAACTGTTAAGTCTGACAAGATTCACAGCATGTTCAGACTAACAAGGTGCAATTTAGTGTTTAAGTCCAACAAAGTAACTGTAACACAAAGTTTCTTGAATACAAAGGTTGCACTGCATGCCAACAAAATACTCGGACTTAGATAATGAACGATCCAACGTGTTTAAACAGGTTATACACTGAAATAATCAGTAGATATATGGTTTAGATGATCAGGTGTGACTAAGTGCCGAAGTTCTTGCAATGTCTGGATTATCAATTGTAAAGGTATTATCCTAATGATATGATGTACAAGTATAAAGGAGCGTCTTTTAAGCAAATGACCGCTGGTGGTCTTTTACAGTCTGGATAACCCTAGCGATATTCGTTCGACATGTTCTACAAAGTCATGAACACAGAAAATTGCATTTGATCAAGGTCATGACCACACAAGACATATTTTACAGCGTGTTTTACAAAATCAAGACCGTAGGAAGTCGAATTTGTTTATATATGATGCGCCGTTGCACGTGTCTGACACCTTTACCGTGAACTCTGTCCCTCCAAACAACATGTCCACCCGGAGTTGTGAAGATGTAATCCAGCCCTGGGCAGGGCGCTCCACTTTGATTGTGCCGAGTTTGAAGCAGGACTGCTCTGTGATGTAAGTCGGTATCTGGTTGGAGGCGTATACACTGATGGTTACTTCATGCTGTTTGTTGCCGGGGCTGTACAATCTTGTCACAATGCTGCCGTCCTCCACCTCTTGTTCTGCCGTGACAAACGGATCAAAGCACTTGGAACAATACCACTGACTGCTGCTCTGGCTCCAGAATCTATATTCGGGAGAATGTACTTTTGGATCAAAAATGTTATTCACCTCTATACCGTATGTGTACTTCATCACTCGGGATTTTATGACACTCGGGTCAAACCCATACAAGACTGCACCTTTGAGAACCGCAAGTCCGGGATCCTGTGGGCAGAAGATGACCTTATTTGGGAACATCTCTTGGAATTGTGCCTGTATTAGAGAGGATTCGGAGAACCCGCCAACCAACACTATCGTTGTGATATCTTCAGTCATAATTTCTAGCGTATGATTCATGATTCCGCATACTGCCTCACTGAAAAAGTCTTTGCATACCTCGAAACCTATATGCATTTTGTCCCTTTTAATACTAACACTCTGGGACAATTTCGTAGACTTTGACATACTGTCGGCAAACTTGTTGCCCGTCATGTTCTCATAGAGCTCAACTAGGGCTACTGGCATGTGAAACACGACTTTTCTACCCAACTCGGACTTAAACCCGCGTTTCTTCACCTCGAAATCCTGAAACAGTTCTAAGTAATCTGACATAGAGTCCTGTTTCAGTGTCTCCAGGACCTCGTTTCCGAACACTTCATGTAAGAACGCTCGGAAGGCGTTGTCCACTGTCGTCCCACCACACGCCCCGCCACAAGCTCGTCGGATCTCACGGATACGCTGACCGATCGTTATTTGGTGTACCGTCATGTCGATTGTTCCACCTGTACAACCAAGTCATAATGCGCTCAATATAAACATAAGATTAAATCATTAAAATAAAACAATATGATAATAGTAATAAAATCGATACATCTAGTACTGACACTGGAAAGCGTTGTTGCTAACATATCACCGAGGGCGAGCTTTTGCATACCAGATGTGACTTACTATTACATTCTAAACGGCCCATCAACATTTATATAGCATCCTACATAACATATGGATAATAGTTTTAGTTATAATTGATAAACAAAAAAGGCTTACAATCACCATTATACATTAAACAAGAAGATACGCATATCAATATGCACATACGTGAATAAATGAAGTGTGGTGTGTACATGACGTCTGTGCAACGATCCTAAAATGCCGACGTGAAGAGGTTCGTTTTGATGTCCGTTTTCAATTTGGCCAGGGTATTCGACTTTCTAATAGCAGATGTTAAGCTATTCCACAACGTGGCCATTAAAACACGTTCAAATAAATTACATCTATCAAACGTGAACGTAGAACATAAGCATCGGTCTGAATATAAAATTGTCTATGGTTACTTATATCTTTTTGAACAGTTATATAGTGCACTGACCTCCCATGTCTACCACGATAAATTTGGAGCCCTCCTCGAACAGTGGTGCCACTGTTCGCCCAGTGCTTTGTTCACAAACTCGAATGGCGTGCTCCTTCATACAGTACAATGAAGCGGCCTCTGGCTCCAACGCTAACTGAAGATGTTCAGTACAAACACCAGCCTTTGGAAGATAAAGATGCTTATATACTAACACGAATACTGAAAAATTAAAAGATTTTATAGAAACAATGACCTTGATCTTTTCTGCAGCGCCATGAAACGCATGAAACTGCAAGGTCGTAAGGGCTACTTCAAAATGTCTTCTCACTCGTTACAGTATAATGTCATCTCACCCAGTCATATTATACTCACATAGAGGAAACTAGTATTTACCGCCACCCAGTTAAAGCTTTACTTCAAGCAAAGGCTGTAATATTTCAGTCCGAAGACAGAACCAATAACCGATCTCATTTATGTATATGATCAACACCGAGGTCAAATGTAAGGTATTTCTGAGTGAGACATAAGGATACGAAAACGTGATTAAAAAAAGAAAGAATAAATAAGAATCTAAAATGTTGGAAATGGGCTCAAAAGTTTATTATTTTGTCCCTGGGTGTCCCTGATCGAAGGACATACTTGTTAATCCCGCATTCTGCAGTGGTTTCCATATTATTGAGATAAAGTATTCTTTTCTCAATGGACAACATAGATCATCATATCTCACAATTGTTCAAGCATAAAATGTCATCAAATTACGCGATGAAAAGTCTTAAACGTCTTCTGGTTTTTTTTTAAATGAAGTATCTCTGACCTTGACCTTAAAGACAGCACGCTGAAACGCCATCTCGGTGTCTTTCCGAAAATGTTTTATGAAGTTCCATGCAAATCCATTGAGACATAAAACATAGCAAGACAATTCCTTTTAAAAATAAGTAAATCTTTGCAGATAGGTAATGTTAACATTAATACTTCAGCACAGGGTTATTTTGTCCCATAAGGAATCTACTGTGGTACAAATCACTGAGAACGTATGTCTAATATTTTTCGAAAAATATATAAGAAGAGGTAATAAGGACCAATACACGTTTGCCAAAAATGATACAGAAAATGTCAGCAACAGACGAAAAAGTAAAAGAAACACGTCAGCTTGAAAAAGAAAAGTTGCTATATCTGTTTCAATTAGTCTATAAAGTACAATGTTTCTCTTGAAAAAATACACTTTTTAATATTAAGAATTCATTATCAGTATGTTATGAAATTAAGTGCAAAGTATTAAAGGAGACTGATTAATTAAAAATTGTGGGATAATTATTAAAATGGTATGTTTCCAGAATCCCTGAGGACAATTGAGGCAAACAGGCTTCTGAAACACACATCGCTGTTTTGAATAAAACATCAGAATTAAAAAAACCTGGAATACGTACAGCTTGTGCGGCTTCCCTCATGAACTGTTTGGCGCCCTCGTCCCAGATGGCCGGTACTGTGATGACCCAGCCAATCATGCCTTCATCCAGCTCGTTCGCTATCTGTTTCTGGATCATGGTTAGCAGGTGCTCCCTCAGAAATCGTATCGCCATAGAGAAAATGGTCTTAGCCGGCATCATCTCTCCATTGATGTCCTTTATCAGGGTTGACCGACCTAGGGTCTGGTTAGAAAGACAAGTATATACATTTATTTTCTTACATGACGTACAAGGCAAATGTAAATATCCGGTTTGAAAATTCTATGAAAATAGAATATTTGACATATTCATTTATGTCGGTTAGCAAAATGTCATTTTTTTCACATCTTTAAATATAAAAGTTAGCATGTAATGTTTGCTGTGTGAATGCCAGAGAAAAAAGATGTCGGCCATATTTGATTGTATTCAGACAGTAAGACTGTCCCTTGCTTGCAAAGCATGAGACGAAACACATCCTCGTGATTTTTGCTTAAGCCTGGTGTTTTTATTCAAATGAGCGACCAGGTTAAGATTTACGATCATCTGTATACCGTTGGACCTTTGACCTATAACAGTTATTTAGCTAAACAGCACTTGGTAGCTTCCCGGCCGATATCACGTACTACCCCCTAATGTATTACTCCTCAAAGTCTCCCGTACGTATCGCACTCCAGCGTTTATCACAAAGAAATTGTGATAAAATAAAAAAGTATCAAAAAAATAAAAAGGAAAAAAGAGGAAATCCCTGCAAAGTGCTTTATTGGTATGAGTACCTCGATACATACATTGTCGTGATTACTTGAATATAAGAAATCAATACATAGAAAGGTTGTTGTGTCGCCTGTAGAGGTTGGTTAAATCGCGATGAATTTCATGTATTGACAACAAAACCACAAACATTGACCTTGACATTACACAAAGAAACAACATAAACCTGATGATCCTGAGATCCTGATGGCGAGCATAAAACTTGTCTAAAGTTCTCATTACTATGCATCTTTGGAAACCGTGTTATAAAGTTTGTCCGTAGTAGTAGACACCTATCAGGGACGTCATGATATTCGGAGCAAGCTCTTGAGTACTGAATCGACTGTGACTTGTAAACACCTCAGGTAGGGGCAGCAGGGATGTTGCTATCAAGAAAGGGATAGTTAACGATCCGGAATTTAGTCGAAATAGTCCCGCTTCTCGTACAGCTTAGTAGTAAGCCGTCCCTATTGGTCATGTTGTAAGTTAGATCGAGGAAAGAGGCTTAAGTAAAGAGTCTGAGATGTCATTGATTTCCAGCTCTGGAGGGTTAATACCATCGATGTGGTCTATGAATCTACAGCATATCATCGATATAATTGAATACAAAATTGAAGGACTTTGCTACATTATTGTTATCACTCCTTCCAAGTTCATCAATAATCTCACCTTCATGTGAAAACAGAAACAAATCGGCCAGAAGAGAGCGCAGTTTATTCACATGGGGATGCCTACAGTATTACCATCGAATTCTACATAGAGTTATTGTCAACCAGCTGGAACTCAATCATTTCATTTTGGACTTTGTTGTATTTTCCGCAAAATATTCTCTAAAACCATTTGCAACCATTTATTGTTATCGCCGTACGCTTTTCTTTGACAAGAGAGCTTTCGCTATACGAGAACGTACCTTTAATTTGGTATCAGGAATGGTAGTGTAAAGGGTTGAAAAGTCAAATATGTTGATAGAAGAGATATTTTGAGAAGAGGATGTTCAAGATTGATCAAAAGATATTTTGTTTTCTTCAAAATCCCCATATGGTTTATTCCAATTCTTGAGTATACAGTATCAAAATACGACCTCAACCCTGATTTAATGCTCGTGATAATGGAAGTGAGTGTATTTACATTTCATTCTCTTTTCGTGTGATATATGGTGGGGTATTGGTCATGTACAAAACTGCTTCTGTCAGCAATTTGGGAAATTGTGTGAATTTCTTGAGTTTGGTGGCAACATTTCCCAGCATACTGTAGGCATTCCTATGGAACACACTGTGCCTCTCTTCTGATCGACCTGGTTTGATCTCATAAGAAGGTGAATTTATCAATGAGCTTATCAGGGCTGGTAGGAATTACTATACTGAGTCCTTTCAATTTCACATTCAGATATATACTCTCCCGTGCTTGAAATCGAGAATACTGAAGATTCATTGACCTCGGCCTGTTCCCCGATCTTTACTTATGCTATGCTTTACGATAAACAAGACGACTTCAATTATACCGCTATGAATTTTCCCTTTCTTAGTAGTAACATCGTGTCCCCAACTTATGGTCGCAGTTGATCCGGTATCAAAGTATCAAAAGGTTTCTCCGAATATGATGATTTTCGTGATGGATATCAACTACTGACAGGCAAATATACAACGCGAGGTTAACAAGGATACATGCTGATGAAGACTTGCCAAGTGTTATGATCGCTATCATGATCCCGTTGGGAATAGTGCCATTGTTTGTGTGGTATGAAGGTCGGGGTTTCCATTACACTCATTAGCGTACCTTGTCGCTACCCTAGTTCTCGCTATGAGAGGTGACATTACTTTGACCTAGATTCACATGGCGGGTATCGTCGATGAATCAAAATATGCTTACCCTTACTGAACGCCTGGTCTTATTATCCTTGTGATATTTTCAAGGGTGTCTTTATTTCGTTCGTTCATATTGCGCCCTAATTTTATTGATTTGGGATCCAAATGTTTTTGTTGATACGCTTGTTTTCTCTTGTTTTTTCTCTATGCATGTTTAGACAACCATTCTTGTGACACGTGGATGAAGGCAATTGCTTTAGTGATGAAGAGCTACGATTTATATTGTTTTACTTGAAATACCAATTACACTAACGTTTGATCGCATTGAACGTTCGCCAAGGTGACGAAGGCAATAGGTTCAGTCAAATGCCAGGATATATCCTTAAGACAAGTCCTTAAAATGGTTGTTGATAAGTTCTGCTTAACGCTCAGCATTTAGGATAGTGACAACAGCTGGTTCACAAGTTGTCAGTATAATGTGACCGGGCGAAGTAGGGCGCTGACTGCCTCCGGCATGGCATTTCAGTAAGTTGGCACTGCAAAATTGTCATCGGTATCACAAGGAGGCAATGCCACCAACATTTCCTATCTCCAGCACACAAACACGCATGCATACATATGTACATTACACACAAAGAGGCGTGTTCTTGAATGACCTTAGCTGTGAATAGGATGTTTACACTTTAAATCAAAACCAAACCTTTGACCATCCACACCAGTCTTTCTAATTTTCGAATGTTTGGCCATTGTGTTTATTGTAACAGTGACATTGGCTGATCCGGATGAGTGTGTCGGACGGATGGACAAGAACATTTCTTGGAGGAATAAGATTTATATAGAAGGTGTACGTTCATGAATTTCGATTGATACTTCATTTTGCTGGCATGGGTCAGCTAACGAAGAAAACAAACTGGGTGCATGTTTTCTAAGGATGCCAAGGTAGCTAGGTTCTCCAAGTAGACTAAAAACCCGGGTCAGATTTCAATCGTAGACCAATGACCTACGGGGGTGACTTGTAGTCACCAATTATATGAACACCTTTCTGAGATACATTATCATTCATTTTTGTTTTGTTAAGAATTGTTTTGTCATGTTTGGCAAATCTGAAATATACCGGACACAACTATCGATAACATTTTCTATTGATTTCAACGCAATTTTATTTACGATGAAAAACAATTCAAATACTCCTTTTCAATCCTACTTTAACTATTAATTTGCCAATAACAGACTTGCACCACTTGCTAAAAGCTGTCTTAGAGGTAAATCATTACACTAAAGCTGTCTTAGAGGTACATCATTACACTAAAGCTGTCTTAGAGGTACAGTATTACACTAAAGCTGTCTTAGAGGTAAATCATTACACTAAAGCTGTCTTAGAGGTACATCATTACACTAAAGCTGTCTTAGAGGTA